TTTCAGCCCCTTAGGGTTGGTTGCCAGGATTTGCCGTAGGCGTTTCGTTTTCTAGGAGTGAACCTTAAGATACCCTGAAAATTTGAAGTCTGTCTCCCATCTCCTTCTAGTGGAACAGACAGACAGACAGACAGACAGACAAACACGAGGTCGTTTGCATAAGCCCGCTGGATAGCTTTTTCAAAGCAGAAGGGCGGGCTAAAAATGAATGCAAGGAAGAAAAGAACTTGCTATGATCGGGAAGAATTAGCTGTATAAAGGCAAGAAACCTTCCCAGGAGTTCTCCACTAATATCATTACACAGCATTAACGATAAAAATGCAATGGCGAGTTCGGAAAGAGTCACTTTAGCTCCATGGTAAATGGGTGGGTCCGCTGAAGGCTGGTCGTCGGTGTTGCCTGTCTGGTAAGTAGGGGATCCAAATTGAACTTCAGGTTCAAATGGTGAGGCAAAAGGGGGATCCTCTTTTGCGCCAGAATGTGGTAATGGATCATCCTCGGAAATGAAGTAGTCACGAGCATCTACAAATCTGTCATACTCCAAGTCAGATGTGACAGAGAAACCACTGGGTTCATCACCTAAAATAGACAGAAGAAACAGATTTAGTAAAAAAAAGGCTTTAAGACATGCCAATGAGCAACAGGGAGCAAAATCAGCGGCCAGGAGGGGAGGGGGGGCACGACCATACAACAGCAACAAGAGCGACCAGGACGAGGCAGTCGCAAGTCCTGGCGGCGTCGCAGAACGACGCCCAAGGTAGAGCAGGATAAGGACAACCATGGGGGAGGTGGTCGCGACGCCGGGCGGGGGCGGGCAGCGGCGGGCGAGGGCGGCCAGGACGACGACACCAGGCGGGCAGGCGCGTGTCCGAGCGGTGTCGCAGAACGACGCCCAGGGTAGAGCGGGATAAAGATCCATGGAGGCGGTGGGCGCGAGGCCGGGCGGGGGTGAGCGGTGGTGGGCGAGGGCGGCCAGGACTACGACGTGCACAAGGCGGGCAGGCGCGGTTCCGAGCGGTGTCGCAGAACGATGCCCAGGGTAGAGCGGGCTAAGGACAAGCATTGGGGAGGTGGGCGCGAGGCTGGGGGAGGCCGGCCAGTTAGGGTGGCCCACGGCGAAAAATATATCAGACCAGTGGTTAGATATAAAGATCGAGATGACCCATGCTCTGGGCATTCCAAAACCACCG